TTTCCCCTGAAAAAATGTTATGAAACAAAAAGGCAAAAATAAATAAAAAGGCAGTCAGAGACCAAGAAGTAAGTGTGTGTGTGTGTGTGTGTGTGTGTGTGTTAGTTTTCCATTGCTGTGACAAATACTTGAGAAAACAATATGAAGAAGATGAAAGATTTGGGGGCAGCTCACAATTTCAGAATATTCAATTCTGGGTCACTTGGCTTGAGTGAGACAGGTCATCATGGCCAGGAGCATGTGATGGAGTAAAGCTTACTCCATGGAAGCCAGAAAGCAGAGAGAAGACCAGCGTCCAGATGTGACCTCGGGACTATACTCAGCGATACTCACCTAGCTGCAGAGGCTTTATCACATGGATGGCTAGAGACCTATCTTTATAGATGGTAAGTAGACAAGTGACAGATAGTGAGAAGATAGCTGATACCTAGACAGAAAGATATGTTTGTAGATAGATGATAAAAAAATCTGATAAAATTATTTTTTTTACCCAGAAAATACAAAGAAATCATAAAATAATAAAATCTCAATAAAAATGGTCAGAAGACTGGTAGTGGGGCCAACCAGCTTGAATCCAAAAACTGCAAACAGTCCTGAAGGAGGCATGGTGGCAGTCTCTTGTGACCACAGCACTCCAGAGACTGAGGCGGAAGAGTTAAGCTTTTGATGCCAGTCTGGTCCACAGAGCAAGGCTATTAAAAAAAAAGAAAGAAAAAAAGGATAACATTTTCATTTATTATACATAATTTCACAAATTTTCAAACTACTTATCAAAACAAACAAATAAAAAACAAAAATAGCTCTCCAAAGTACTAAAGGAAAATCCCAGGTGGGTGCTGGCACCAGACCTACTGTCATCAATCAATAATGAAAATTTGAATCATAAATTCTCCCAGAGGGATAACTGGGCAGTGAATTCAAATGCCTTAGAGTATAGCAGTTCTTGACCCAGCAATTCTACTTCAGGAAACTTAAGAAAATAATCTCCAAAGATGTGGCTTCCCTGATGTTGATGAAAAAAAAAATACCTTAAAATAACATAAGCCACTAGCAATAAAACCTTAGTTGAATACATTGAAATAAATAAGCTTCAGATAAGAGCTTTAAAAGTTACCTAGCTTCAACCAAAACACTGGGGCTCCAATTGTAACAGTGCATGCAGAGCGAGTGACAAATTAAGCTGAGGTTCTAGGTGCTATTACAAAGAATCAAACCCTAACCATTAATTTCTGCTCCAAGGCCCCAAGAGCAGTTGGAGTGGGGATGGGCGAGGGGGGCACTTTCTCATGACTGAAAATTCTTATTAGTCTGGCCTGGGAAAGCCTGTCTCAGCTATCTGGGAGTCTGAGGCAAGAGAATTCTAAGTACAAAGCCAGCTTGTTTTGCAGAGTGAGTTCAAGGCTACCCCAGACAATAAGACTCTGTCTCAAGACTTAAAAGAGGGCTGTGTGGGGTCTCCCTTTTCTTAGCGATCTGTTGAACACCAAACTATGAGGACAAAGGGAGCAGAAGCAGCCAGCGGGGCTTTGTAAGATTGTGAGTGTGATGGAATTAGCCTTCCGGGAGTCAACTTCAGTGAGACAGAGTGAGGGGAATATATAGGATGGGGACAACATCTGGGACAGCACCTAATGGGTACTAATAATGTGCTTCGTTTGCATTTGGCAAAACAGTCTCTTCAGACAGACGGAAGCACGACACCTGATTATCCTATAGGCAGCAGGGGAGAGCATTTGCAGGAACTGTGTCAAAGATAAGTCAGGCATCCAAGCTCAGGGACAGCCCCCAAATAAGGCCAGGGAGAGAGTAGGAAGCCTCTGCTGGGGGAAGGGAGTCTTCTATCTCATTCTGCACTCAGGAGAGCTGTCCAGACATGGGGGGCTGCAACCTTAGGCAGCAGGGTCTTCTAACAGGCTGGGCGTGTGGCTCAGTGGTACAGTGCTTGTCTAGCCTGTTAGAGGCTCAGGTTCACTCTCCAGTACCACCTCCAAATTAATAAATATAAAATGTTTTTACATTCATTTATTGGGTGTATATGGATGTGTATGTACCACAGTGCATTTGTGGAAATCAGAGGGCAGCTTGTGAGAGTCAGTCTCCCCTGCCACTGTTGAGTTCCTAGAATTGAACTCAGGTTATTAGACTTGGCACTAAGTGGTTTACCTGCTGAGCCATCTGCCGGCCCTCATAAATAAAAATTGCTAGTTTAAAAATTTGTCCGTTAGCTCCTCCTGTAAGGGCCCTGTAATGATTACTATCGGTTGTCAGTTTCATTGGATTGAGGGGAGTACCTAAGAGCTTGGTAAAGCACATATCTGTCTGCATTTGATCATAAGGGCTGTTACAGAGAAAATTACTTAATCCATTAATGGACTCATTATTTCAGTCAAGTTTGGGGTGTTAGGGAACTCTAGAAGGTGAGGACTGAGTGGAGGAAGTGGGCGTCTAGGGGTGTCTTTGGAGGGCCTTTGCCCCACCCCTTCCTGTTAGCTCCTCTTTGCTTCCTGGCTACCATCAGGTGCACACCTTTCTCTTCCACACCCTTCTTCTGTGATGTTGTACCTTACCGTGAACCTCCACACAATGGAATCAGCCAGGTGAGGACTTCAAACTTGCAAGCCATGACCCCAAATTAGCCCTTTATTGAGAACTTTAAGTTATTCTTCTCAAATGTGTGTCACATCCACATAAGTATGACTAATGCAGTTCCTCCTCTCTTGAGATGTTGCCTCAAATCTGTGCTTCACTCTCGTGTGTGTCCAGCTGCCCTTTGCCTTATTCTTTTGTTGTTGTTTTGTCATTACCGATATTCCCTAAATCCCTATCTAATCATGTTCATGGCTTATTGTCTTATTCGTATCTTTACAAAAAAAAATGTACTTCAGGATAATGCTATTTGTGTTATTCACTTATGTTTTCCAAATAGCCTTTAATAGGGCTTGGCACATAGAAGAGTTAGAACACAGATCCTACAGCAGTCTTTCTTTTGTACTTTGAAAACTCAGAGCACACCCCCTTGTGGTATCTGCCTCTCTGGACTGACAGTTGATATGTAACCTGCTGTGACATTATAAGGCTCACAGCCTTGAGTTATTTTCCTCTTTCAATTGCCAGCCCAGCTCCCAGAGTTACCCAAGACAACCTTGAATTATAACTTAGCATGTATCTAGTGCCTTCCTGCCTTGTCTTGTGACTCCTGACACACATCATGTGGTGTGGAAACACCTCCTTTCCCAAACCTATAAGAGTGAGGAATTCCTGTTCTCGGGAGTTGAAGGGTCTGCTTTGCCTATCAGGGCTCCATCATGACTGCCTATGACCTCATTCTAATAACTCTTGTAATGAATCTTTTTCTGTCCCACCAGCCAGCTCCTAAATGGAGACTTATTAATTATGAAAGTTTGGCTTTTAGCTTAGGCTTGTTTTCTACTAGCTCTTATAACTCAATTAACCCACTTTTTTTTTAAAAAAATTAATCTACATTCTACCATGTGGCTTTTGTCTTTAACCCGGTCCGACTCTTTCCAAATCTGGCTGGCATCTCTCGTGTGCCTGGATTCATCTCAGGTTTCCTCTCTCTGCCCAGGGAAGCCTCTCTCCGACTTAGCTATTGGCCATTTAGCTCTTTATTAAACCAATCAGAAGGTGCCTTAGGCAGAGATATATCCTTTCATTGCAAACAAATATCCTACAACAAGCACCCCTTTTTGTTTATTTGAGGGAAAAGAAGACTTTTTAAATACTTATTATTGTGTGTATAAACATGAAATGTATGTACTTCCCAGAAGGACTAGAAGGGGGAATTGGAACCCAGGCACTGGAGGTACAGGTCATTGTGAGCAACATGATAGACACAGTGGGAATTGAACCCAGGTTCTCAACAAGAGCAGCAAGAACTCATAAACCTCTGGGCCTCTCTCCAGCGCCACTAACAACTACAATAAAGCTCTTCTAAAGGGTACTTTGTGCCATCTTCCTTTACATGAACCTGCAACATTTTTTATTAGGTATCTAACAAGTAGGTGTTTGGTTCCTGGTGTCTACTACTCTTTTCACTGCATCTATGAACCAGAGGAGCTGAGCGGGCCAAGTCACAGACAAACCCAGGAACTTCAAATACCAGAATCCCTGGATCTCGGAGTAGACTACATTTCCCAGAGGCCTCTGCTCCCCCTTCCCTCGGACCTGGAGCCCTGACTTCCCGAGAGCCTTCGCGGGCCCGGGGGTCGTCTAAAGCGCGGTTGGACGTGGGGGTTCGAGGTCTCTAGACTGAGGCCGCGGGCGAGGCCGCGCTGAGCCTCTGTGAGGCGTAGCGGCAGCCTCGCGGGGGGAAGGTGAGCAAGCCTGTTCTGTTCGTACGCCAGACAGGGGCTGAGCTGGATTCGGCTCCGCACGAACTCCCGCGCCCCAGCGCCTCCGGCGCCCCCCCTCCCCGGGCGCCTGCCTTGGGCACGCGGAGGAACGCGCGCTCCCAGCGGTCTCGGCACTGGACCGCAGGTGACCTGCTCGCCACGGCCGGGGCGGGGCCAACCTCGGCTATGTTTCCCGTGCCGCCCTCCTGTCCTGGGCCACTGGTCCCTTTCTGGAGTTTTCTCTGGGGATCTGGAAATCGACCTCTTGACAGCAGCAGAACAGTTATGTGGGCAACGCGTGGGAAGGAGGAACACGTCCCTGACCCGTGTCAGACCTGAGCGGGTGCAACTGGATGTGTCCCCTGTCGCTACATTTTGGCCTCAATTTTCTGATCAGAAGGGTATGGGCAGTGCCAACTGGTTTGTGGTGAACAGTGTAGGGTGATGCCTGGCACGTGGGGGCTCAGTGAGTCCCCTCTGTGATGGAGTCCAGTGTCGCCTGAACCTTCTAGAACTGATGCCCATCCCCAGCTCCTGCTTCTTCCTCTGAATGCAGGAGAGCCAGGCTCGGCTGATGGGACGCTTTTGGAGATGGTGCTTCTGAGAGGTGTGAAGCAGCAGGTGCTACCTACCCCTTCCTTTTCTTCCCTCAGATTCGCCTTCATCTTCACCGTCTGTCATCTGTGGAGAGAACATGGCTCCTGAGCAAAGAGAAGCGAGGTCTCTGGTAAGCACATTTCATTTCTTAGTGGAAGGAGGGGTTTGGAGTTTTCCACATAGTTCAGCCTTCACTAGGGTTTGGAGCGAGGAGTTGAGCCTCCCTCCATGACCAGCAGAGTCTGTAGGAAGCACATCCCATGTTCACAATCCTAGTCTTCTGTATTTCTTGATAGACACGCTATTGTTGCCTGATCCCAGTCTGGTGTATGCTTACAAAGTCCACAAATAACATGCCAGGTGCCCTAGGACAGAACAAACATACATAGTTGAGAAAATTATTTTCTGGCCCTGCCTCCCTCACTCATCTGTATTTCTTTCTTTGCCCTTACCAAGATTGTCTATTCTCTTTTCCTGCCAGTCCTTACGTTGCTCCCCCAGCCTTCTCCAGCCCATGGTGGGTGTTTATTTTATCCACTTTACTCTATGAATTATGTGTTGTGCTTGTACACTTCCTTTAAATTTTTTTTGTCATGTGTAAGTTTGTGTGATATGGTGTGCATGCATGTATGCATATTCTCATGTGTTTGGACAGGCATATCTGTGTATGAGAATGTGCATGTAAAAGTCTGAGGCTACTGGATGACTTCCCCCATGATTTTCCAGATCTTATATTTTGAGTCAGAGTCTCTTACTTGAACCCAGAGCTCATCAAGTTGCCTTTCCTCACAGTTGTCAGTGACGTTTGAGGATGTGGCTGTGCTCTTCACTCGAGATGAGTGGAAGAAGCTGGATCACTCTCAGAGAAGCCTGTACCGAGAAGTGATGCTGGAGAACTACAGCAACTTGTCCTCACTGGGTAAGGGAGTTTGCTGTGGGCATAGATTCAGAAATGAGACTGTAGCTCCTCCTTCCCTGAGTGAAAGCTGTGGTTGTTGTGAAACATTAGCCCAATTTTGCCTTAAAGTCATGCAAATGGGTCCTTATAAATAAGTAGTGGCATATTCTTCCCATAGCAGGCTTGGAACTGCCCATGTTCAGTAGAGGAGGTGGCAGTGAGACTATCGCTTCCCTCGTTCTTCCTGGTCCAGGCACCATCCCCATCAGCAATCATTTGTGCTTGTTTGGTTCATCTCTGAGCAGAGAGCTCTGTTCTGTCTTTGGAACCTCTTTCCCATTGCCTTTACTAGAAGTTCACATACTTATTCTGCAAAGGGCCATATAGGGTAAACATTTTAGGCTTCCTTGATTTCTGCAACATGAGAAATTTTCTGTCTTCTGTGGATATCTGGCTTTTAGCTAATGAGTTAATTTTATCTACAAGCAGGATTACCATTTACCAAACCAAAGGTGATTTCCCTGCTGCAGCAAGGAGAGGAACCCTGGAAGGTGGAGAAAGAAGGTTTTGGAGGCTCCTCTCTTGGTGAGTGAGTGTGCAGGCCTGGCAGTGTCTGCAGGCACTGGTGTGGTGGTAAGTAAGGAGAGGGTGTAGTTTGGAGTGTGGGATGGAAAATGTCTTCGGGTTCTCGGTCCGTAAGAAGTGATGGTGGCTGGGCTGGAACTCAGTGGTAAGAACACCTGAAGATGAGGGATTGGAGTTCACCAGACCCAAGATAAAGATAAATAGGTGTTTTATTGGAGAACAACTTACATGGATAAGAGTATCCATGTAAGAGGGACCGTCTCAAGGTTCCTGCTTCAGAAGATGCTGTCTCTGTCTTTCTGATGCTCTCTGAGACCCAAGAGAGCATGCTCCTGCAAAACTCTACCTTAAAGCAATCAGTTTGCACCTGAAACCACGCCCAAAGGGTGTGGCTACTTTTTCAGGTCCACTGGCAAGGCCAGATGCCACTACAAGCACCTGCCTGGCACACACAAACCCCCGGGTTCAATTCCTAGCACAAAAAAGCCCAGTGGATTACAAAGGAGTGAGGGAGGGAAACTGAAGCTGAAGTTTGGTCCGGCCCCTTTATTCTCCTAATCATGTCCCGGGTGACTTTCTTGGGGTCTTTTTTCTTGTCGGTTATTTCTGAGGAGGGTTGTGTCTTCAGAGACCATTTAAGAAATCAGGTATATTTAAGGGATGATAAAGAACTCACTGAGGCTGAAGTTCAAAGTGTGTAAAGGAAAAGGAGATGAGATGAGAAGGCTCTGCAGGGGTCCCAAAACAGGTGCATGTGGACAACTGGAAGTACTTGAAATATAAATGGCAATTGTATAATCTTTGATAGCTTTGGGAAAGCTGGTTCTAATCAGAAACAATTCAGAGGTCTTTAGTAAAACAGCTAAAGAAACTGGTATGTCCTTATTCTGGTATCCATCAACACCAGTGATAGAGACAGCTCCAGAGAGTGTCAAGGAGTGAGGCAAGTTTCAGAGCACTGTTGATATTGTTACCACTAAGTTGGAAGAACATTGTGTTCTTAAAAAAAAAAAAAAAAAAAAAAAGTGTGTGTGGGGTGTGTGTGTGTGTGTGTGTGTGTGTGTGTACACTCAAGTGTAAGCTCTACACATGTGAGCACAGAGGGGTTAGGAGCAATGTGTCCTCTTAGAATGAATCTGGGTTAAGGGTCTTTATTTGCATATAATGTTTTAAATTTTTGCAAAGAGCTGTTATATTCAGGAAGCCCTCCTGTGACATGCACTTTGGAGGAGGGACTGACTGACAGTGAGGCACAGCCAGGGAGCTACTGCCAGAATGAAGGTAAACAGCTAGTGGAATGTGGATGAAGGCCTACTTCAGGAGTCTAGAGAGACCCAGTTTGAAGAGTTTGGGGTGGGGGTGGTTTTCATTTTAGGTTAACTCAAGTACTCAGCCACAGATCTCCAGTGGGGTATTCTACAAGGTTGAACTCACAAGGTCAGCGTCCTTGAAGCCTTGAGCAGATGGGTTGGGAGTAGGATCCTGGAAACTGATTTTGCAAGGTGATTACGAGAAAAGACCTTGTGAGCCTGCCCTGAAGTGACCTGAACTGGGGCAGGAGAGGTGATGGCTATGGTGATAGAGATTTAGGGCTGTTGAATTGGGTGGGAAACTCCCTCGCTGGAGAACTAAGGCTCGCACATGGACTTCTGCTCGCCTAGCCTTTCATAAATGCTGAACAAGCTCTGTGGTAGGTGCCAGCAAAGTGGCAGTAGGAGGGATAAAGCAGGATCCTGCTCTTGAGAAGTGCTTGATGCAGTGAGGAGAATAAAGAAACCAAGCATCCATGACCAGCCATGTGGAAAAGTCTAGTGAGGACTAGTAGAGAATGGCACAAAGTGCAATGAGAATGCAAGGCAGGAGCCCCTGGAGGCAGTGCTGTGTGTGTGTGTGTGTGTGTGTGTGTGTGTAGGGTGTGTTGGGGGTTCATGAAACTTGAGTGTGTGTCTAGATTAGGGAATGATGACTGAAGGAGCCAATATTGACCCAGGAGAAAAGTAGAAGAGGACGGCAAGAGACATTGGCAGGACCGGATTTCTCCTGAGGCCCATCACATGGTTTGATCTGAGGATTTGAGAGTCTGTACAGGGCTGAGGAGTCATGAGCAGCCTGGAGCTAGGTCAGGGAACCTGAGGGCAAGGAGAGAGAGGAGTTGGGGCAGATCTGAGCCCTTAGGTCTGTCAGTGAGCCTGGACCTGAGAGCCAAATGACTGGCTCTCACAGCCCTTGTGTTGTACAAGAGCATCTCTTCCTAGTCCAAAGTGAATGAATACTCGTGAGATGGCAGCCACAATTGTCTTACATCCTCATTTGTGTAGAAACTGCTAGAGGTCACTCCAAGTAGTTAGGATGCCTGAAGGGAAGGAATTAGCCTGAGAAGAGTATATCTGCAGTTCAGAGCAGTCTTGGGAGAGGCTGAGATACCTGATAAAGTGTGGTCACCTGCCTTCCTCAGCTCTGGGGGAAATCTTAGTAGATGACTGAGGAGTGAAGTGATGAGTGGACATCATTGGAGCTTCTTTCTGCTCTGTTCCATGTGAAGGTTTGACTGTAGCCCAGGCTGGCATTGAACTCTATATTTCTCCTACTTCAATCCCCTGAGCACTGGGATTATAAATATGCTGCTCTGTTCCTCTTGAGGAATGGCCATTCTTTCTTCTCTCAAAAGTGGACTTCAGTTGGGAGACCTAGGGATACTCATGTGTCCATGATGTGCCCTGGCAAGTTACCATGTGCCTGGACTCCTTTTCAGCAGGAGCTCATATCCCACAAGTGCAAATGAAAGACCTGCAAATCTGTACCTTAGGTCATGATGTCAGACAGAACCCAACTCTAAACCTGCAAGTTGTTTTTCCCTTCAAAACTAGTCACAGATAAAACAAACAAACAAACAAAACAACAAAACAGAACTCAGTTCTTTAGAGCACTTGATGCCCTTGCAAAGAATGAATCAGTTCCCAGCACCCACATGGTGGTTCATAACCATTCATAACTGCAGTTCCAGGGCTTCTGACACCCTCTTCTGACCTCTGTGTGCCCCAGGGACACGTGTGGTACACATGCAAGCAAAACACCCTTACATGTAAAAATGAATTTAAAAAACAAAATGCACAAATAAACAGCTTTTGTCCCTAGGTTTGTAAGTTTTAAACTGAGAGGTGAGAGGCCATGGCTCAGGGCTTGTGTCTTACTTGGGTCTCTTGCTTAAGAATTGGTCTAACCCTAAGCAATGAGATGGTGCTTTTCCTACATAGCTATACTAAGAATCATGGGTGTGTTGCACCTGTGTATCACACAGGTTTGCTTCACATCCAAATGCAGAAATAGTCTGGAATTCTGACATTTTTAAATCCCAGAGATGATCTAGTAATCACATCTTCAGTGAAAGATCACTTAACCTGCCTTTCCTTTATTGTCTGTCTTTAATGTCAGCAGTCATTGAGAGTACTGAACTGTGAGGGGTAGTCAGCTGCAGAGTCATCTGCTGTTCTATCAGTGAAGTTCTGGGGGCTGTGTCTGCTCAGAGGAAGGGTAGCTTTTGCTGATTTTATACTAGGGTTATCACAGAGGTTAGCAGCAGACCTAAATAAAATTAAGTGACTTAAAGCAATTAGAAGCCATTGTCTCATTTCAGGTTGAAAGGCCATGTTTGCCATGGCCCTGCTTCCTCTGAGACAGGATAGAGACCATCCTTGTGTTTTCTCAGTTTGTAGTGATAGCCATCGTTCTGAGTAGATTGTAAGGAACAGTTAGTATATCCATAATCTAAGACTGACCTCAGTGGAAAATGAATTGAGAGCTAAGACCCTGGCACTTGGGAGTTGAAATGAGTACAATAGAATTGACTTAGTTAAGGTTACGGTTTCTGTGATGAAAGACTTCTACACCACAGTTTATCATTAAAGGAAGTCAGAACAAGAACTCAAGCAGTATAGGAACCTGGAGGTGGGAGCTGATGCAAATGCCACAGAGGGTGCTGCTTACTGGCTTGCTCCTCATGGCTCTCTCAGCCTGCTTTTTTATAGAACCCAGGACCATCAATAGGATGGCACCACTCAGGATGGGATGGGCCCTCTCTCACCAATCACTAAGAAAATATCCTACAGGCTTCCCTACATTCTTATCTTATGTAAGCATTTTCTTAATTGAGATTCTGTCCTCTCAGTTGACTGTAGCTTGTGTCAAGTTGAAATAACTTAATCCTCTCTGGTACACTAACCAAGCCATTCATCAAACCCAATCTTTAGGGTATTTACCACAACTGATCACTTGCTCCTCTCTGGCTCCCAGAACACTAATCCTCTCCTGGTTTTCTTCTTATATGTTCAAGAGATCTGGTGATTTCTTTCAGTTCTTTGGCTTTAAATAGAATCTGTATGCTGATGACTCCCACATGCCTATCTTCAGCTCTGACCTTTTCCCCAGATCTCTAAAAATAACACACAGCTATTTCAGTTCCTCCTTGCATTTTCTCCTGCAGCCCCTTAGCTATCACAGATATACCTGAAACAGACCCTCTAGGACTTGCCATTTTCTCCTCCCTCTTGGTAATCAGTGCCATAATTCATTTTCAGGCTGGAATCCTAGGCATGATCTTAATTGTCCTCTTTCATTCTTAGTACTCTGTTAGTTGATTATCTCAGCCCTGTTAGCAGCTTCATCTCTATCTTACCGCTTTCTGACTGTACCTCAACAGCTTCCTAAACCCTTCATCTCCATGCTTTCACCCCTGCCCCAGTTCACTCTGTTCTCTGCCAACTTAAATAAGCACTGTTTCTGCAAGCATCCTATCTTGCTTAGTATAAATTCTATAATCGTCAACAACACCAAGGGAGCCTTGTATGATTTGCCTCTCTCCCATACTGTGCTCTTTTGACATTTTCCCTTTTGTTCAGTGCATTCCAGGTACCACACGTTTTCCCTTTTGTTCAGTGCATTCCAGGTACCACATCTTTGCTCTTTCCTGATGGGAGATACCATTCTGTAAATATGTTTCTCTTATTGGTTAATGAATAAAGCAATGTTAGCCAATAGGAAACCAAGATAGGCAGGACTAGGAGACAAGGATGATTCCAGAAGTAGTAGGAGAGCAGAATGCCAGCCCCTCTCTCCGGTAAGAAGAAGACCACGTGGAAATACTTAGATTAATAGAAATGGGTTAATATTTAAGACAAAGCTAGCTGATAAGAAACTAGTAACCGACCAACAGCTTTATTTATTAACCAATAAAAGAAACATATTTACAGAATGACATCTCCCATCACTTTCCAGAAGTCATCTGTGTTTCTGTGTTTTGCCTAGGACTCTCTTTAGATAGCCACATGGCTTCTATTTACTTACTTGTTTGTCACTGTATCCTGTCTGCCATTCCAGCACACATCATACAAACATATGAAAGCATAAGTTTCTGTAAGGCTGGAAGCTTGTCTTCCTCAGCATATTCTCTGCATTCCCTTAGAACATTATCTAGCCATGGTAGTCACCTAGTGAGTGAGTGTGAATGGAAGGGTAGTTTTCTACATATGTAAAGATAAACCAGTAAAAATTAATTGGACTGCTCCAGAAACTGCATCTAGCTCAGCATACCTGAAAAGTTGCTAGGGGAGGGAAGTGATGGCAGATGTAGACAAAAGTTCAATTCACTGTGGGGAGGAACTGGACCTCAACTATGAATCAGTGCATTCTAACAGATCTTTAGGAACCTGTAGCACAGGAAGATGTAGATTTAGACAGGATTACCTGCTTGCAGTGTGGTGACTGAGTTGTCAGAGGGCAAGATTCAAAGATAGGAAACTAGTTGGGAGACCATAGTAGAGACAGTAATGCATAAGAAACAAAATGCCATCTCCGTGCCTCTCTTAGTCACTGTTCTATTGCTATGAAGAGACACCATGACTACAACAACTCTTACAATGGAAAACATATCATTGGGATTGGTTTACAGTTTCAGAGGTTTAGTCCATTATTGTCATGATTGGGAGCATGGCAGCATGCAATTAGACATGGTGCTAGAACAGCAGCTGAGTATTCTATAGCCTGATCCATAGGCAGCAGGAAGACAGACAGACAGATACACAGAGAGAGACAGAGACAGAGAGATACTGGGCCAAGGCTGGGCTTTTGAAGCCTCAAAGTCTATCCTTAATGACATTCTTTCTCCAGCAAGGATACCTCCTAACTCTCTCAAACAGTTACACTCCTATAGGGGTGATTCTTATTCAAACCACCACACTTTATGTATGGGGAAGATACACAGTATAGTGCCAGACTGCTGCACTCAAAACTCTAGCAAAGGCAAGGTGTCAGAACTGTAGCCTTTCTTTACGAGAAAGCCTGAGGCAGTGTGTTAGACTCTTTATTGCTGTGACAAATACTAGAGAGAAACCATTTAAAGGAAGAGAGAATTATTTTGTCTCATGGCTTTAGATATTTTAATCCATGGCACTTTGCTACCTTGCTTCTGGGCCTGTGGTAAGGCCAAGCATCACGTGAGTGATATATGAATAGGGTGGTTCAGAAGTTGGAGGGGGGGAATAGGGATGAGCTGTATGAGATACTCCTCCAATGACCTATTCTCCAAGGCCCCACCTCCTGACTTCCAACACCTCTCTACAATCTCATTGGGTTAGGAACCCATTGATGATCCAGCTAGTAATGAAGCTTTTAATACATGATTCTTTAGTTGACATTTCAAACTCAAACCATAGCACCTCCCATGTTTGATGCATGGATGAGGCTACCTTTCCAGCTTACAGTTCTTGACCTTTTGCCTACCTTGTGGCACCACTGTAGAATTAATTTAATAATGTGTTCTGTGTGAACTGATTCAGAAATTTTAATCACCTGTGTTCTGTTTGGGAAGGCAGGTTCTAAGAGGGCCTATGACTAATGTATAGAAATTCATGTTTAAGTATTGACTTTCTTCAGATTAGGGAGGTTTAAGTAAGAAAGATTTACTAACCAAACCAGATGTGGTAACATATGCCTATAATTCAGCACTTGGAAGGCAGAGGCAGAAGGATTGCTACAAGTTTGAAGCTAACCTCATCTACCAACTTGGGCTGTGTAGTAAGATTCCATCTCAAAACAAAACAGAAAGGTAGGTGTGTGGTGTGGTGTGTGTGTGTGTGTGTGTGTGTGTGTGTGATACCATTGAGGACTTATGAGAGGTAGAACATGCTGATCTGGTTTTTATATGTAGAGGTACGGAAGTGGTCACCTGTAATCCCAGCACTCAGGAGGCTGAAAGGCTGAAGCAAGAGGTAATTAGTTCAAGGACACCAGGGCTACAGATTGGGATTCTGTCTCAGGAATCTGGTTGGAGGAATGGACCATGGATATTCAGAGTCAAGGATTTTTACAGTAAATTTTTTAATTAAATCTGAAAAATATTGTTGGCAGGAAACCAAACTGGGCAAACTTAGCAGATAACAATGTAGGTGACTATCATTTGTACTCTGAATTCTGGATAATGCATTTTCCAACCCTGTCCCATTTAATCACCCTCTTGAAATGGGCCTGCTTTTTTTTTTCTCTCTTCTTCACTCTACTATTTCTATTCCCATCGATTATGTTTCTCAACTAACTTTTCTATTCCACCCTCAGTATTTTAACCATATACCAAGGACAATGTAAATAACATTAGTATTTACTCATTCTGTGTGTCTTGTCTCAGTAGTCAATTTTTATACCACAAGAAACATCTTTGGTTTCTTTTTTCCCTTTCTAGAATTGAGGTGCAACCATAGACCCACTAAGTCAACTCAAACACAAGACTCTTCATTTCAGGAACTGATTGTGAAAAAATCTAAAAGAAATGAACCTTTGAACTTGAAGTCAGAAAAACTTTTCATACATGAAGGCAAATTGGAGGAAAAGCTGGATAAGGATACTTTGACTATAGAAAGAAGCCATAAAAACAGTGAATTTATCGCAAAGTCACATACAGAAAAAAGGTCATCAGATTGTGAAAAACAAAATACTTTCAAGCAGATACCATATTTATCTAATCAACCAAAAATCACACCAGATAAACGATATAAATGTAGTATGTGTGAGAAAACTTTCACCAACACTTCATCTCTTCGTAAGCATGAGAAAAACCATAGTGGAGAGAAATTATTTAAATGTAAAGAATGTTCAAAAGCCTTTAGCCAAAGTTCAGCCCTTATTCAACATCAAATAACTCATACTGGAGAGAAGCCTTATGTATGTAAAGAATGTGGGAAAGCCTTCACTCTCAGCACATCCCTGTATAAACATCTAAGAACCCACACTGTAGAGAAATCATACAGGTGTAAGGAATGTGGTAAATCTTTTGGCCAAAGGTCAGGTCTTTTTATACACCAGAAAGTCCATGTTGGAGAAAACCCTTATAAATATAATCCAGGTAGGAAGTCATCCAGTTGCAGCACATCCCTGCCTGGTCAAAGAATTCATTCCAGAAAGAAGACCTACTTGTGTAACGAATGTGGCAACGCCTTTAAGTCTAGCTCCTCCCTTCGTTATCACCAGAGAATCCACACTGGAGAGAAACCTTTCAAATGTAGTGAATGTGGCAGAGCCTTCAGTCAGAGTGCATCACTTATCCAACATGAAAGAATTCACACTGGAGAAAGGCCCTACAGATGTAGTGAATGCGGAAAAGGCTTCACTTCTATTTCAAGACTCAATAGACATCGAATAATTCACACTGGGGAGAAGTTTTATAATTGTAATGAATGTGGCAAAGCCTTAAGTTCCCATTCCACTCTTATTATTCATGAGAGAATCCACACTGGAGAGAAACCATGTAAATGTAAAGTTTGTGGGAAAGCCTTCAGACAAAGTTCAGCTCTGATCCAACATCAGAGAATGCACACTGGAGAAAGACCTTATAAATGTAGTGAGTGTGGGAAAACATTCAGGTGTAACTCATCCCTCAGCAACCATCAGCGAATTCATACTGGAGAGAAACCATACCGATGCCAGGAGTGTGGCATGTCATTTGGTCAAAGTTCAGCTCTTATTCAGCATCGCAGGATTCATACTGGTGAGAAACCCTTTAAATGTAACACATGTGGGAAGACCTTTAGGCAAAGCTCTTCACGTATTGCACATCAGCGAATTCATACTGGAGAGAAGCCCTATGAATGTAACACATGTGGGAAACTTTTCAACCATAGGTCATCCCTTACCAATCATTATAAAATTCATGTGGATGAGGACTCTTAAAAAAAAAAAAAGCAAATTTGCATGTGTAAAAGCCTTAAACCAAAGCTCTTTGGAGAATATGTACTTGAAAGATGTAATAAACAATGAATATTGGGGGGGGGGACCTACAGTCAACTAAATGCCATGGATAAATTGTGTAACAGAAGGAAAGTATTCATGGTTGTCCAACTCTTTAAATAATTACTTGAGAGCCAGCCATACACATGGTCATACCTACTGAGGACCCTGAACCATGAGGATTGGTTGAGTCTGAGTTTGAAGCAGCCTGAGGAGACCTGGCAAGATCCCATGTGGAAAAATGAGCAGCCTGAGATGAAGGATTCATAACTGAAGACCATGACTTCAGGCATTTGTAAAATGGTGCTTTTCTCTCTGCAGCAGTGTGTTGGATGTAATTGTAATCATAGGCATCTTAAGTGATTAGCAAAGCACTAAACTCTACACTGGTAGTATTTTTATAACATTTTAATAACATCCAAAAGGGATCAAAGAAATTATACATTTTTAAGAAAAAAGGGGGGGCACAATAAAGGAAAAATAAACTGCAATCTACCTCTTAGCCTCTGAAAAGTATCATTTTCTTTACCCAATTTCAAATGCTATATGTGAAGTTTATTAAAAGTGGAAATTCAAAAGCTGGTCTCTCTTGGTGTTGCTGTGATTTGGAGCTTTGCTACCCAATTATTCTGTTCCTAGAATTTTGTTGCTGCTATTTTGATTGCTTTAAAGTCATTTATTACTAAATTCTATTATCCCATGTGCTGTTGTCTAGGTATATTAAATATGCAAATGGGCAATTATGGAGAGAAGAAATGACTTAGTGGTTAGGAGAATGCTTTGCAGTTTCAAAGGACTTAAGTTCAGTCCCAATATCCATGTCAGGTGGCTCATATAAGTAACCTGCCACTAGCTCCAAGGAGGTCTGTTATCTCCAGTCTCCACAAAATTGCACAAATGCATATTCACACAAGTGCATAATTTAAAAATCTTTTCAAGATACAGTCAGAAATAAAATTCAAAGTTGCTGAGTTTTGTTTTTTTGATACTTTTGTCACATGCAAAACCATGTCAGAGGATATTTGACAAATCTAATGCCTGTAGGATGTGTGGAACTTTGTGTTCTGTCAAAGCTTACCTGGAGATCAACTATGCTCAGTCTCCAAAGAGAAAGTCTGGTGGAATTTGGATCTATGAAAGGTGCAATCATTTTAATAAATATGACACACCAAATGCAAATAAATAAATCTTAGAGGTACTACATACATGTAACTTAACCATGTGCTATGTATTTATATTCCTATCCTGAAAGAGAAGTGTGAAATAAGCATCAACCACAAGGATGGGTGCTCTCATCCATGGTAAGAACCTTTGAAACCTGAAGTATTGTGACCTCACAGTGAAGGAAAGCCAGATTTGTGCAGTTATGAAGAGGCTGGTATTTTAAGGACTTCCCATTTAGCTAAAAACTCAAGTAGATTTTTTTTTTTTTCCAGTAATCACCAGTGTGCATTCAAGAGACTTGAAGCAATTTGTGCTTTGAGGTTTAGGCAGTGGGGTCCAGAATCCTTTAGAGTCTCATCCTGGAGATCAGACACATTCTCTCCCAGGTTTACAATCAAATACTACTAGAGATGTCACCCTGTGGTTATTTGACTGATGTAATTGTCGGAAAATAATAATCTTGTTGTTATACAAATGAATACATGGCAAGGTAATTTCTTTTGCCAAAAAGGGTGGTCCAGGACCCAAACCAGGCTAATGAGCACATTTAGCCAAAATGGCTGTTTTATCCCCAAGGTAGGTGTGGATTGTGTCTCATCCCATTGATAGCTCTGGACTCCCCAATGTGATGAAATTAGATAGTTGGCTAATTGGTTGTTTTATATTCATTTGTAGTTGGAAATGGACCCTCAGGTTTGTATCTCTTCAAGACTCATCTCTTAGACTTTGAGTACAGCCTTCCTACACTGATATGTAGTGTTGGATTGTCTTTTCAAGACCACATACCGAAGTCATGTGTCATCAGAATACTCTTCATAGACTATGGGGGGCGGGGGGAGAGGAAGGGAGAGAAGCATAGCCACTTGGCATGCCAAGGAATGGCACAAGAGACGTGTTATCCCAAATTTCTTGAACTTCATCCCATTTATAGTAGGCATCAGCCTACATTTGTTCCTTCTGTGTAAAAGGAGGATACAAGAGGGGAGAGAGCCATGCACAGAGAGGAGATGGAGATACAGACTTTCTGATCCCAAACAAGCTGACCATCTCCTTCTACAAAGGCTTCAGGACAGATCCACCTCAGGCCTGCAGAGTATTGGAGCTCATGCTAGGAAACAGCACCTGAAGCATGTTTTCACTGCTTGGGCTCAGTGGAAGAAAGGGGCCCCAAGAATCCCAGTAAATGGGTGCTGGAGATGTAGCTCAGTTGCCTAACTTTCACAAATGCCTGAGTTCCAGCCCATAAACCAGGCTCATAGTGGTGGCACATCTATAACCTTGGCCTTTGGGAGACAGAGGCAGCAGGATCTGTTCAAAGCCATCTGTTAATAGTGAGTTTGAGATCAGTCTGAGTTGTATAAAAGCTTAAAAAACAATCCAAGCCAGGTGCTGGTGGCACACGCCTTTAATCCCAACACCAGGGTGGATCTGAGTTTGAGGCCAGCCTGGCCTACAGAGCTAGTTCCAGGACAGGCTCCAAAGCAATACAGAGAGATTTTGTCTTGAAAACAAAAACAAAAACAACAACAAAAAACAAACAAACAAACAAAAAACAAATCTCTGAAAGAAGATAGTTTCTTTGGTGGCTTCCACAGCAACTGCATGTGTTCAGAGGGAGGCAGCTGGAGGATGACAGTCAACCTTCCCTATACATGTTCAGAAGATCTCTGGGCCTTAAATAAACTGCCATAAACACAGCTGGCTACCTTACAACTTAAAGAACCCAATGCCCGTTTCTCCTCTGTGGGAACAAACAGTCTTCTGGTATGGAGATCCTTTTCTACAAGAGCTTCTTTGACAGCCGCTAGGCCCCTCTGCTTTCTTTCATCTGTAGTCATAGAACTTCTGTTCAGTGTGTTTATGGTTTCTCAGCCTGGTTTGGGCCTTTGAAATCTCAGTGACACATCTCCAACAAGGCAACATCTACTCCCAACAAGGCCACTGATCCTAATCCTGTCAAATAATGAATACCTACTTCAACAAGGCCATAGGTCCTAATCCTTTCAAATAATGAATGGCACTTCCTATGAGCATATGGGGGTCATTTTCATCAAGCCACCAAAAGGCCACACCTACTAATCCTTCTAATCCTTCACAAACAGTGATATCCCATGATGGCCGAGCATTCAAATATATAAGGCCATTGGAGAGATTCAAGATTCATATTCCAAACACCAACAATCATAGCAAATAGTATAAATGTATACAGGATTTCCATCTCATGTCAATGTTAACATCAATGTAGGAATCATGTTTCCAACATTGGAAGGAAAATGCTGAAAATGGAGCATATGGCTATAATCCCTGCATGTAGGAAGTAGAGGAAGGAGGATCCTGGGTTCATAGCCAACCTGAGATACCTAATAAGAGAAGAGAATAGAGAGATAGCTAGAGAGATAGATGATAGATGGATGGATGGATAGATATCATAAAATATAGAAAAGCTACTTGCTACTTAAACTCCCTTCATTTTTATATGCTCATGCAACTATTAAAGAACCCTAGAGAGTGTGCAGCTTCTGCAGGCTTTGGAGAAAGAGCAGCAATGTTCCAGATGGAGGGTCTCGCACCGAAGCAGGATCCTGAAAAGATGAAATGGAAGATGCGCAAGAATGTGATCCCCTCCATTCAGAACTTCTTATCTACAAGGCCCTGATGCGAGTCACTCCATATATCTTAAAGAAGTTGGACAGCATATGAAGATTGGGAATCACAGGGATGCATGGCATGAAGAACCTGGTGACAGTTTCTCTTCCTGTCTGCAGATGAATTGGCCCAGAAATGTGTAAAACTGATTAAATGGACATAAAAACTCTACTTGTTAAGAACAAGTTGGGCCTTGGGAACTGGTCTTCACCTTCATAGCTAAAATATAAAAGCTATTTGGGAAGTGTGAAAAGATGTCCTGTGGTCTAGTGTGCCCTTGGGCATGTGATAGCCACCTCTGTGAGTGTTGATGGAATTGTAAAAATGTCAAACTCTAAGGGGCTTATGTCTGGAAAAAAAAAAAAGAACCCTAGAGACCCCAAGAAATATGTATGATTATTATGTTTTTCTATGTATTTGGCTTTATTATTTCTATTTATACTGCAGAGTTTCTACAGTAGGGGTCATGCTTGATAACTCAAAGAAACACATGGGACCAGAGTCTCAACTACCCATCACATACTTAAAATGATAGATAAGCATTTTGCTAATCCCCCAGTTTTAAACACAAGATGCCTAATGTTGCACAAAGGGCTGCCCACCTTGGTCCAGACTAAGCATAATGAGGAAAGTACCACAAAGAATGGAGAAATGCACAACTTCCTTTCACCAAGTTGATGCCAAGCATCTGGGGCACAGGGAGGATACAGGATGCAGGACAAATGTGAACTGTGTTCTATAGTTCTCTTCACAGTGCTGTGCAAATACATCCAGATGAAAACCTGGATTGTTATGGTAGCACATGACTTTAATCCCTGTATTCTGGAGACAGAGGCAGGTCTTTGTGAGTTCAAAGACATTCTGGTTCACAGAGATAGCTTCAGACCAACTATATAGTGAGACCCTGTCTCAAAGTCCAAAACCAATGCTTGAGAGATGGCTCAGTTTTTAAAAGCAGTTGATGCTCTTCCAAGAACCTGGGTTAGATTCCCAGCACAATCATGGTGGCTCACAATACTCTGCAGCTCCAGTTCCAGGGCCTTTAATGACACCAGGCACACACATGGTGCACACACACATGCAGGCAAAATACCTATGCACATAGAATAAATTAATAATTAAAAGCAAAACACAGGTGTCTCTGACTGAGTTGCCTGCTTTTGGAGCCCATTCCTCCTACCAGATTGCCTCATCCATCCCTGATAGAAGCAGAGGTGCCTA